TAAACTAAACAATATTTTGCAGAATGTGATTAAAATTATCAACCACATCAAAATACATACCCTTAACGCATGTCTGTTCACTCATTTCTGTGAGGAGATGGACGCAGAGCACACACGTCTTCCCTTATACTCAAAAGTGAACTGGCTTTCTAAAGGTGGGTCACTGGCCAGAGTTTTTGAGTTATGAGAGCTGCTCCAGAGGTTTCTTTTGAAAAAACAGTCACCACTGGCAGCACATTTCAGTGACACAGAATGGGTCACAAAACTTGCTTACTTGTGTGACATATTCAACCTGCTCAATGAACTCAATCTGTCACTTTATGAGACAATGACAACTGTGTTCAAGTCAGCAGATGAGGTAGCTGCATTCAAAGACAAACTGGAATTATGGGGGTGACTAGTAAACATTGGGATTTTTGACATGTTTCAAACATTAGCAGAGATTTTGAAAGAGACTGAGCCAGGGCCTTCTTTCTCCCAGCTGGTGCATGATCACCTATCTCAGCTCTCAAAATAATTTGAGCATTACCTCCTAACCACAAAAGACTCCTGAACTGGGAAGGAATGGATTCATCACCCATTTGTAAGCAAGGCAGGTAAATCAACTTTGTCCGTGGCTAGAAGAGGGTGAACTGCTTAAGATTGCAAATGCTGGTGGCCTTAAAAGTATGTTTGAGACAACTTCAAATCTCTAAGTGTTCTGGTTTAAAGTCAAGGTGGTATATCCTGAGATTTCCACAAAAGTACTGAAAAGCCTGCTTCCATTTCCAACATCTTGTCTTTGTGAAACAGGGTTTTCTGTAGTGAGCAACCAAAACAAGATTATGGAGTAGACTGGACACAAGCAACACACTTCGGGTGTCACTGTCTCCCATCACCCCCAGATGGGACAATCTAGTTGCATGAAAGCAAGCTCAGGGCTCCCACTGAGTCTGCATTATGGTGAGTTGTATAATTATTTCATTATATGTTACAGTGTAATAATAATGGAAATAAATTGCACAATAAATGCAATGCACTTGAATCATCCCTAATCCATCCCCCCTACCCCAAGTCTGTGGAAAAATGAGAAAAATTGTTTTTCATGAAACCACTCCCTGGTGCCAAAAAGGTTGGGGACCACTGCCATGTGGGACAGATACTTACAGATGCCATGGAGCTGTTTTCTTCTAGGATTATGATGAGCTGGGGTTGGTGCTATCTCCCCTCATCTCCTGGCCTTTCACTAGAAAAGAGAGTGAAAGGGAAGCGAACTCCTACATTTGAATTTGCAAAGAGATCATAAGACCAGTACAGCTGTTTATCCATCTTCCCAGTACATAGATTTGTTCTTAGGCTGCTTACAGAACTTGTGGAAGAGACACTGAATGGCTGTTAGAAATACTTTAGGAATCATGGAAAATCAGAGAAGTTTCAAGTGACAGGCAAATGTCCAATTTTCTGAAGAAGGAAGACAGTTTTTGTCCCTGGGTGGTTAGGTCCATTTCATTTCTCAACAAAAGTCTAACATGGATTTCTGAAAAGGTGTTTTGTGAACATCTGCATAGGATACAGGCACCCTGCTACAATCCAGCTCTCTAGAGCTTAATAGAGAACAAGCTGGGCTGGGTAAGCGCTGTTCTGCCGAGCTAGAGTGCCAGTTGGATAGCTCAGGAGGTCATGTATTTGTGTCTCAGCCAAGAGTCCTAATACAGATTGATTTTTATTTTATTTTAGTGCCTGATGTGTGCCGAGCATCATGCTCAGTGCTGGGAATGATTGAGCTGAAGGGGCTCAGTCTTATGATATCAAAAGTAGTCTATGATATTTTTCTCCAGTAGATGCATGCACATGAATGTTTGGAAATACTTAAATTGTTTGCATTAATGACTGATTTAATAAACATACCTGGTTACTGAGAGTGGTCTTTAATGACATGTCTTGGGGCTCTGCCCTGTCCTACATTTCTATTGGCAACATTTTTATATCAATGCTTATACTTTTTTAGATAAAGCAATCGTGGTGGGAAAAACGTTATTAGTTGATGAACCTACTCCAGAAAGATGATGTTTTTCTGTGACAAAGACCAAAGTTGAAATGAATGGTAGCAACAACAAAGTCCTATACTGTTCTATAGATTTTTAAAAATTTTGTGTATGTGTGTGTATTAAGGATTTAGCAATAATGCATGGAATTTTTTTTACCATAAACCATTGAAATATAAATAAAGTAAATAAAACCTTCCTATCTGACAGAGTCTTCCTTCTCTCCAAACAACAACATGCTGTCACCTACAACCCAAGCTGCATGACCACAGCAACCACGACCACACTGATCCAGGGAGGGGGTGGATGGGGGAGCAGCAAAATGTGTCCAGAGTGACCAGAAGTCATTATCACAACCTCTGCATACTTTGTTCTAATGAGTCACTCCCCCGCCCCTGCAACTATCTCATGAACTCCTCAAGGTCAGAGCCTGCGTATTGTAACCTTCATTCTCATGAAATGCCTGGACTCTCACAAGTTCTCAAGCAGCACTTCTTGAAGATGTATTCCCCTCCCCTGCAGAAAACTTAATTTGATTTGATATTGCATGGATTACAGAATAGCATCTGTATTGAGTGTCTATTGGTGGTGTAACAAATTGTCCCAAAATTAATGGGTTAAAATAATGCAAATTAACTATTCCATAGTTCTGGAGGTCTAAATTCCCCAGGGGTCTCATTGAACTCAAATCAAGGTGTTGAAAGCACTGTCTTTCTTCCAGAAGGCTCTAGGGGAGAATCTGTTTTCTTTCCTCCTTCAGCTTCTAGAGGCTGTGCACATTCCTTGGCTTGTGGCTCCTTCCTCCTCTCCAAACCAATAGCCCTCAGACCCTTTTGTTCTGGGTCAAGTGTCTTCCTCTGACTGCTCTGCTGGAAAGATTTTCTGCTTTTCTTTTAAGGATTCACATGATTAGATTGGACCCACTAGTTTAATCCAGGATATTGCCATGTAACATAACATGTTCAGAGATTATGTGATCATTTTTAGAATTCAGGCATCTTGGGGAGTCATTACTGTTCTTATCACAGTATCACATAAGAAAGGTGGTAGTATTAAATTGTTGGACTATACCCAAGATACTTCACTATGCCTTATTTCAACCAAGTACTTGAACATTGTAAGAAAAAACCAAAACTGGCCGGGTGCAGTGGCTCATGCCTGTAATCCTAGCACTCTGGGAGGCTGAGGCAGGCCGATTGCTTGAGGTCAGGAGTTCGAAAACAGCCTGAGCAAGAGCGAGACCCCATCTCTACTATAAATAGAAAGAAATTAATTGGCCAACTAATATATAGAGAAAAAATTATCTGGGCATGGTGGTGCATGCCTGTAGTCCCAGCTACTCGGGAGGCTGAGGCAGAAGGATTGCTTGAGCCCAGGAGTTGGAGGTTGCTGTGAGCTAGGCTGATGCCATGGCACTCTAGCCTGGGCAACAGAGTTAGACTCCGTCTCAAAAAAAAAAAAAAAAAGAAAAGAAAAGAAAAGAAAAAAAGAGAAAGAAAGAAAGAAAAAGAAAGAAAGAAAGAAAGAACGAACAGAGAGGAGGAGACTGGGAGTTGTGCATATCTAAGGTATGCTTAAAGAGATAGTGTTTAGCTTAGAAGAAAAGAAGTCCTGTATGTAGATATGTGGTGGAACTGCGGTTTGAGGAGGCATAAGACATTTGTGGTCTTCAAAATATCAGAAAGTTCCATTCCAAGACAGAGGGTTTAAATATCTGGGAATTCCCAGGATGCAGTTTTTAGCACAAAGTAAGGCAGAGCTCTATGGCCATTACTGATGTCCTTAAATGCCTCAAGCTAGAAATGCCGTAGCTGATGGTGTGTGGAGCCATATAAAAAATATCTGAGCCTTAGGTCAGGGTGAAGCTCAGTTGAATCCTCAAATTCAATTTAACCCATACAGTTACTGATTCTCTGGCTTAGAATTCTATTCATGGCCTTTAAATACCTCCACTTGCATATAGCTAAAGCAGACGAAGGCTCTCCATGCTTACTAAGTATCTTCTTGCCCTCAGAAAATCCATCATAAGGATCTATTCAATGCCACATAAAAGAAGGGATGAAGGAAGCTGATAGAGTTCAGCTACCTCCTTGGAAAATTAAGCGGTCTATGTTTTTGTTGAGAATATAAAAACCCTAGTCAAAAGGACAGTGGCAGGGTTTTCAATGATGCACAAATACTTAGTAAAAAATACTCTCTGTTGTCTTCACGCATGGCAAATGTAAAGAGACAAGGCGTGAAGACAGTGGTGGTCCATACGAATATTAAGTATGATTCATATTTTGGGGAAGTTAGGTATTTAAAATGAAGGAAAAAGAAAGAGTAAGCCAGGTTCTTTCATCTCAATTCAGGACACAATACATTTTTGATAATTTTTTCATCAGTCCACTTTTGAAATGATTATTTGGAATAACTTGTATAAGATTCATGAGCCACTATAGGAAGTGCTGTTTTTATGACACTGGTATATATGCTGCATACAGTGCTTTTTTTAATACTTTCAAAAATTGTGTTACCATGATATTCTTGATCTTTTAAGTATACCTCTGGATATCTAAGTTATCTCGAACTGTATTCGGTTATGTCAGACCATTTGATCCAAAACTTATTTTCTACCACAAAAATGTCCAAAAGGAATTAAGAAGTTAATTACAACTTAAATCGTATTTAAGAGAAGTCTCTTTGTGGTCCATTATAGTTGCCATTCATATATCTTCAAAGAGAGTCTTAAGTGTCTTTGGGATTGTAATGGTCATCCTAAGGCTAGGAGGAGCTTGTTCAGACACTTGAGATTTGGGGCCAATGACTTCATAGCCATTCCATCTTCTCTCCACATCTATGGATTAACCAACAGCAATCATGATAATCCCAGCCAGTTCCTGGTACTCCTTGCTGTAGTCAGGGGAAGGTCAGCTATTTTTTGATCCCCACGGGAGAAAGACAGCAGCTCCTCAATCACTATCTTAAAATAGCCAGTCATTCTCAGCTGCTGGGCTGGAGTCGCTCCAGGGAAGAGCAAAAGGGAATACAAATCTGCCTGGCAGTGGTGTGAGCGAGAAGCCACCAAAACATGAGCTAGGACAGCCTTCTCAAGGGGTTTCCACGTACTCAAAAACCTTATTCTTTTTTTGTTGTTGTTGTTAAGAAGCTAGGTGTCTCCCGTTTCAAAATTTCTTATTTTATTTAATAGGAAACCAGTGAATTGAAAATGAGACTAAATATCGCCATCTTCTTTGGGGCTCTTTTTGGTGCTTTGGGGGTTTTATTATTTTTGGTGGCTTTTGGATCGGATTATTGGCTTCTTGCAACTGAAGTGGGGAGGTGTTCAGGTGAACAGAATGTGAGTTTCTTCTTTAAAATACTGATGTACTTGGTAATGATGAAATAGTCTTATGTAGCCTCTTGAAACCAGAGAATAGTGGTGGAATGTCTATTTCATCATAGAAGAGATATGTAGAAAGCTACTGATCATTATTATTTGGGATAAAATACATTTCTTTAAAAATTTCCTGGATGTAATAGTTTTGATTGTATTTTTTGTGTTGATGGCAAGTTACTTCATCTGTGTTCTGTGCAGATAGAGAATGTCACTTTCCACCATGAAGGATTCTTCTGGCGATGTTGGTTTAATGGGATTGTGGAAGATAATGGCTCCAGTATTTGGAAGTTCTGGTATAGTAAGTATAACTTAACTTTATATTCCCTATGTCACTAAAATAAAAATGAACAACTTCTTATTTAGTAGATGTCACTTACAGAGTGTTGGATTCCTAATTGTAAAACCTCAGTAAGATGCCTTCAAAAGTTTAATGAAGAGACTGCCTTTCAGTAAATAGGGAAGGCTATAGGAATAATTAGTCTATCTTCTAACATAAAATAAGAGTCTGAATATTTATGGAAAACTGAATTATCCACTGTTTCCCTGCTCATATTTAAAATACACTAGCCTTAACAAATAAAACAGATATTATCTATAGTACTTTTTCAAGTGTCTATTATTGTTACATTGCAAAAAAAAAACAAACCCTTTTTTGTTTTTTACTATTAGCCCTTGAAATCTGAAATGTAAAAATCCAGAAACAGAGATGTATTATTTTATATTCATAGTTTCAAAGTTAACAAAATCCTTTTTTGATAATGAAACTTAATTACCAGCAGTGAAGATGAAAGCTTGTTTTATTTTGGCTTTATCCAAGTTCATGGTAATATCAAGACATGCCTTGCTTTTGATGTTTGCCCTCTCTTGTTGAAACTTTAAAGTTCTTTTTAGAAGTAGAATGCTTTTAAAAACTCTGATGCATCTTTCAAATATATTTCTTATATATTTAAATTAATCTTTGAAAATCAATTTATTAAAAATAGCTAACATTTGTTTTATTGTGTCTAACAATGAAAGAACTGTTTATTAGCCTAAAGTTATTGAGGGTCTAAATTATTAATCTTATTAAATACTCTTGTGAAAAATCGAAGTATGGTATTTATACAATAGTCAAGATTGTGGAATATATAATAAAAAGATGAAATAACTGAAGACTTAAGCAAGCTGATAGTGAGTTATCTTATGTAAAAGGAACAAGGTAGTGATGAAGTGGTACTTTGAGATAAATATCTGATAGGCTATCTTATAGAGCATTTGGGGCAGGAGAGAATAGCATGCAACTTGCCAATGGCAATTATTTAGACTTTGATAAAGAGAAGTCAGTTAGATTGTGCAAGAAAAAGATTTTGCCAAAGATTTAGAAAAAGAAAGAATATGCCAATATTTCACTCCACCTTAAAGTATACATATGAAATTTAACGTTTTCAGACAACATAAAAATTTCCTTCTTGTGATTTCATCAAATGCTAAAATTTATTTGAATTATTAACTTGTATGATTGGTCATTTGTATCTTTTCCCCCAAAATAAAATAGATATAGAAGAAATTTTTTATTAATTGCAACGAATGAAGGTTAAATTTATTAAGACAATTATTAAACAATTAATTATTAATAATTAAGACAATTTTAAAGACAATTATTTTTGAATACCTAATGCATACTAGGCATTATGTTAGGTACTGGAGAATATGTGAAAAATAAATAAAACATGACACCTATAATTTTAAGGTGATATTAAAGGCATTTGCACTGATTCCGTTGAATTTATGTCACATAGGTAGATGTTCTGGATGAGTCCACCTTTCAGCTGTCCTGTGCTTTTTAATAGAGGTTTCTAGGATGTCATCCTCCCTCTCACAATTCTCTGAATTGGTCGATAGGACCAGCAGTTGTTTTTTGCTTGTGTAACCCCTCCCCCGGCATTTCTGTTCCATTAGGAATGAGTCATCACCTAGCTTCTCAGTAACAAATGCCACACTGCTTTGCTCTCTTTCTCAGCCAATCAGCCACCATCCAAGAACTGCACACATGCTTACCTGTCCCCGTATCCCTTCCTGAGAGGCGAGCACAATTCCACCTCCTACGACTCTGCAGTCAGTAAGTACCCTCTGTCCTCAGATTGCCTCTGAAACGAGCTTATCTTTTAAAGGATACCCACCACAAAATTTTTGTGAGCAATTAAAAAATAGTTGAACACCTGTAATTTCAACATTTTTCCTACAAATCTATAAAATATGAAAAGGCATGCTATGTTAATGCACCATTTATAATTTGAAAGAACATAACTTTGACCTAGATGTAATTCACTTGTTACTTACAAAAATAATTTTTTAAAAGATGTGTTTTTTGATATGAAGATAGTGATGTTTAATGGGAAGAACTACTTCTGAAGGGTTTAATTGACCTAAAACTGGTCTTACAATTGAAAATATTGTCATATACATCCTATTTTTAGAACATTTTCTTGCCATTGTTACACATGAAACTAGAATTATGCTACCACATTCACATAAAATGACTGAACTCTATGTGTGTGATGTCCCATAGACAAAAGATAGTCAGATATTGCTATGGAAAGTCATATTTAAAACATGAAGTTTTTAATAACTCTAAAACTAAGGTTTGGTACAGACTATCAATGTCATATACAAAACCAAAAAGTGTTTGTTTCGCAAAAGGAATACCTACTATATTTAATATTCTAAATAAACTTATATTAGTCAAGGTCTTCCAAAAAAAAAAAAAAAGAGAACCAGTAGAATACATACACATAAACTCTCTCTCACACACACATACAGAGAGAGAAATTTTAAGGATTTGGCTCTGGGGTCTGTTGAGTCTGAAATGCGTAGGATGTGCTGGCTGGCTGGACATTCAGATAAGCCTTGGTGTTGTAGTCGTAAGTCTGAAGGTTGGCAACTGCAGCAGAATTTATATGTTGAAGTCTGGAGGCTGGCTTCCTTCTGCCTCAGGAAACCTATCTTTGCTCTCCAGGCTTTCAACTGGATAAGGCCTGCTCATATTATGGAGGAAAATGATTGTAAATGCTAATTGCCTCTAAAATATACCATCACGGCCACATCTAAACTGGTGTTTGACCCAACAACTGGGCACCATTGTCTAAACAAGTTGATAGAGAACATTCACCATCACAGAACTTAAAAAAAAAATTTACATTAAACTATTTTTAATCTTTTTAATACACAGTTCCACATGTTACAATTTTGTTTTAGGTTTGTCAAAGAACTTAGCATTGGTTTATATCACATCCTAAACATGGCACTTTATGGCGAGCATGCGGGGTCTGCATGGTGAGCTGACCTCCAGCTGTGATTGTCCCCTGGGATTCCTTGGGTGCAAAGGACGGTGGCTGTCTTCCCTGAAAACAAGTGGTGTGGGTGCTCCTTCACATTAAAAACTGCATGAGGTATCACATTTCATATTTGTCAAAACCCTGTGGCTCGTGTAAAACATGGACTCTCTCACCGGTAAAAGAGGAGCTGGACAGCATAGGAAGAAATAGAAGCATAGGACAGCATAGGACAGCATAGGAAGAAATTTTGTTTTACAGAAAAGTTAAAAAAATATGCCCTTTCCCTGACATTTGTACTTTTATAAATGAACTGAGAAGTAGTACAGGATTGGCTTTCCAGAGAATTTGTTGTTCGCATAAATAATAGTATTTTGTTGTTGTCATTATTCATATGCTGAAGTCTTGTGATGGAACAGGTATGGTAGGCACAGTGTATTTCACAAGGAATGTACATATTTGAAAAGTCTGCACCTCAAGGCAATAGTGGAGGACTTGAAAAACAAGGTAACATAATCTATGCATAATAATTATGATGGAGATGGATAGTAAATACATGTCAGAAAAATTATACTGCAATTACACTTAGAATTATTATGTAGCACTGCATATAATTAGTGTGTCATTTTTTGGATCTAGTGACAAAACCATATCCAATTTTTTTTTTTAATTATCAAACTCCCCTTTGGCACATATATTGTAACTCCTTATTCACTTTAAGAAACTTTATCAAATACTTTAAGTAAAAAATGATTGAGATGTGCAAAGATATGTTTACAACAGAAATAGGATACACAAGTTTCATTTAGCCTCATAATAATGTACAAGGAAATTTGATGTTATATTTGTGTGATTTATGTTTTTTGTGTATTTCCTGTATCCAAGAAAAAGGCATAGATTGTATCAAAAGTATTCTATCTGACTTTTCGGTATGTGTTTCCTAGTTAACAAGACTATATAATCTTTACTATACTCAAGAGCCACTATTTAGTTTCTTGTAGCTTCATAATTACCAGGCATTAGATACTTGCTAAGTTATCTTCAGTAAACTGAAAATATTATTATATAAAATCTTGATGTATCATGGCCTGGAAAATTATTCGTAAAATGACTTTGTGTTCGTCTGAGTTTTTACAATTACAGTTAGTCAATATTTGATTTAGTGAAAATAATACAGTGGAGTACGATTTTTTTCTGGAGTGACTACTTTAGAATCAGGGCTACTACTGATGAGATTATCCTCTTTCATAATCAGGAGACTGAAACTCAGAGAAAACATGTGACTCTGTGTCTTCACACAGCTGATCATTGGCAGAACTCATACAAAGTCCCCAGTCTCTGGTTTTTGTTTTATTGATAATATTATAAACTATAATGAATAAAAAAGCTTAATTGTAGTGCTTACTATTAAAAAGTATAAGTCTTTTATTTGTGTCTCAGCAAAAGCAGAAATTAAACTTATATTGGCTTTTTCTACCTTGCTATCAGAAGATGACATATGCATATAGTCAGGTCTAATTAGGAGTTTCGTTCTTTAAAAAATCCCAAACACATATTCTGAAATTCAATTACTTTCAAATCTAGTTATTTGAGTGATTGCTCCAGCTTAGTGAGAGGGTCTATTTCTAAGAATTGTTTTTGGTAGGTGTGTGTGCTTTGAAGTCCATGAAACCATTCTATTACCTTTTGAAATTTGCCAGAGTTTAGATTTCCTGGTTTGTTTCATGCTTACATTCAATCACAGTTCATTTATGTGGTATCATTTGGTAATGATGTACTGAACATAAATGAATTTTCAAGATATTTCAGCCCTAAGTGAATTAATTTTGCTCTTTCTTGGTGTCTCCATAGCTTTTGACAGCCTGTCAAAGGGCTCATTATAATTAGCTGAAATTGTTTACCTCAGTTTCTCCGGTGTATATCGGAGCTCCTTGAGGGTACAGAATGTAACTTATTCGTGTTTATATTCCCAGAACTTTGTATAGTGCCTGGCAATTAGTAGATACTTAAAAATATGTGTAGAATGATGTTATAGAAAACTTACAGTTAGTATTTTCAGCACTAAACTAGTTTTATTTTTTCCAAGTGGAAATTTTTTAAAACTAAATTAAATACTTGATTTCCTTCTTAAGCAGAATATATTGGACAAAATTTCACCTTTTCTTGAAGAGTTGGAACAAATACCTATTCACCTGGGCTAGCCACCCTGACCCCCTTTGAGTTCCTTGAGCTCTGTGTTTGTCCCCTGGCCTCAGGCATACATGCTATAGCCCTCCCCAAAGGCTGTTCCTCTCTCCCCACTCCCTCCTCTGTTGCTGTTGCTGTTTCTAACAAAGCAGGCTTATCCCTACAGCCAGTTCAAACTTTGGTTTTCTAAGGAAGCCTTCCTTGTCGGCCTCCTAATGCATTCATTGGGCCACATTGTCCTTTATAAAACCCACGCTTTAATTTGATAATTCATAGTGCAGCTTTTCATTATTTACTTGTGTAATTATCTTGTTCATGTATTTCCTTCTTTTCTTCCCAGTTCAACTCTAAACTCCATGGGAGTGGAGTCCATGGGTCTTGCTTGTTTGGCTCAGTTTTGTGTCTGGTCTAGACGAACAGTTAAATGAGTATTCTGGGGAGACTCCATTGTTATACTGTACTGTGGTATTAATGCTGATACCCTAAGTAAAGATTGATGTGTGGAGGATTTCTTTAACCCTTTACTAAACAGACTTAGATTGCTCTTAATTTTTTTTTTTTTTGCATATGTTTTGTAAATTTTGGTCTTCCACGTTATTTTTTACCTGTCAGCTGTCCTTTGCTTTTGTTGTCAATGTTTATTTATCTAGTACTCTTTTCTGGTTTCTCCTTTCTTCTCCCTTATAAAAAGTGTAAGTTGAAGAGAATGATGTGAGGCTAGAAGCAGGAAGGCAGCTAGGCAAGGTATCAGTCAGTAATGCACCAGGCTGCAAGTAACAGGCAGCAGAGAGTAGCTAAACACAAGCACTGTTTTTCTCCCCTAACAAGGTGACCAGAAGCAGCTGCCATGATGCTATTGCCAGGGACCAGGATCTGTCAGCCTTTTCTTCCACTGTCCTCGGAGGTTGACAGTCACCTTCACACTCTTCCATCCTCAGAAAAGCAGGAGTGTATCCTGAATGTGCCAGTAGTTTTCTGCTTTATTCATCAAAATGGTGTCCCATGAATAAAGCTGGGCCACGGAGTTTTTGGCTTTCTATCAACTAGAGTAGAAGAGAAGGGAGCAGGACTGGGAGTGAGTGTTGAGTGAATCACAATCATCAGGGGTTGACCAAGAGTAGAACAGAACAAAAAGGGAATAAAGGCTGTAATTGATATTTGAAGAGCTAATATGTAAAACTTGATAGCCAAACAAAAGAAAGCTAGAGGAATCTAACATGATGAAGAAATTTCCTTTGGAAGTACATGTAGTTCAGTTTAAACAATATACAATAAAAGGTAATATGGTCACTTACCTCCAACCAATGATCATTATTTTAGTGTTTTGTTTTTTTTCCCAGTCCTTTTGATTTGCATTTGTACATAGTTTTTTTTTTTTTTTTTTCAGAGATCCTGAAATTCCTTTTTTCCTCAGTTTTTAAAATGTCATAATACTACAGGGGCACAAATGTTTTGGTCACATGGATTGCTTTGTACTGCTTAAGTCAAAGTCATAAGTGTGCCCATCACCCAGACAGTGTACATTGTACTCGTTAGGTATGATTTCACCTATCCCCTCCTTCCCCTCCCACCTGCATGATTTCCATCAAACAACCCCATT